GCGGCGAAACCATGTTATAAGGAAGAAGCTGGAGGAGCCCCATGCCGGGGCGGAGAGGTCTGCAGGCAGCTTGCTGTTGCCTGCCTCCCCCAGAAATGCTGTCAAACAGCAGAACAGCTCTGTTGGGCAGCTGCCTGGTGGTTCTATGTGGCTAACGAAGCTGGAGGAGCCCTGAGCAAAATGCTCGTTGTGAAGCCTCCCACCAAGTGAAATGGCTGATTTCCACTTGCCCATCCTGCAGCCTGAACCAAGAGGGCAGAGACTGTGGGGTGAATTTCAAGCGAAATCTGCACCAGTGTGCTGTTTGCATGCAAAGAAAAAGAGTATCTGCCGGCAAAGCGTGTTTTCTGGAGCTTGCCCAGACCTCCCTCCTCCCCTGGGTATGTTTTACTACCTGTGCATCCTGTGCTTTTCTCCCAGGCTGACACAGCATCAGCAGGGAGCTATGAGAGGGGAAACTGAGGCAGGCTGGAGCAGGGATGTAGGCAGGGATGCAGATTTAGCCCTACTGCCTCTCTCCATCCTGTCTCTTCATGGCAAAACTGTTCTTGCTATTTTGGCACAGCCTGATGCAGAGATGCTCTTGGCCATGAGGCCAAAGGCACCACCTCATGGCACACAGGGCTGGAGGCTCAGCCAGTGCTGTGGAAAAGGGGTGAAAACACAGGAGAGGAAAAAGAGTGTAGGTTAGATAGCTGGAGCTGCGAGCTGTTTGGTTTGGGTGTAGTCAACCACAGCCCATCACTGGCTGTCTCGGGGCCGGGAGATGGAGGTGGGACCAACCTGCACCTAGGAGTCGTAAGCAGGGGCGCTGGGGGAGAGCACTGCATTTAATCCCGTTCTGCTGCTGGGGCTGGGGGTGAAACAGCCCGGCCTTCCTCCAGCCTCCTTTTCCCTGGCAGAGCTGTTAACTAAACGTGTCTGGAGGTGACTAGAGCGGCTGCAATCATGCGAGTGAGGAGCTCAGCTCGTTATTTAAGAAGCAGCTTTCTGGCTGCAGAGAGGTACTGTGTAAGGTCTATAAATGCAGGGGCTTGTAAACCACAAGTAAGGAGAGCCCCAAACATACCAGTTTTTAAAACCTAATGGGTCTGACGCCAAATTCCTGCTTCGGGGAGGCCTGGCAGGGTAGGACCCTGGCTTTTTGCATCCAGAGGCCAAATCCGGCCAGCTCCATGCATGACAGTGACTCTCCAGCCAGCCCTGCTGGTTTCAGCATTCTTTGCAGGGGAAAGCGCTGCAAGGTAATCAAATGCTGACCCCCAGTTATTAACCTCATCTTCTTAATGACCTCCATCAAGTGCCGTAATTGCTGAACAGGGATGGGAGGACTTGACTGCTTCCACCCAAGATTAACATGCAGCCTGGCAGTCCCCTCCTGTCCATTGTGGGGCGGGGGGGCACGCTGCTGCTGCTCTTTCTCTGACTCACCCACTTAACCTGAAAAAAGGTGGAAGTGGTTGTCTCCCAAAATACAGCAATTTATCAGCAAAATTCAGAGAACCACCCCTGTCTTTTCCTTCACTCAGTCAAAGAGGTAGTGCAGCCCCATGTTGTGGGGAGCCGGTGGGCAGGGATGTGCTCGGCATTGCTGTCGCTCCTCATCTGCTGGCCCCTGATTTGCCTGATGGGGTGTTTTGCTGAGAGGCACCGTGCTGGCTGCCGGGCTGGGAATGCCATGCATGGCCTCGTTCCTGATGGGAATCAGTGGTTTGGGCCAAACTCGATGCTTTTGGGCAATACATGATGAAATCTTGCTGGTGGGCTGCAGGGAGGGGAGGCTTCAGCACTGCTCTGCCTGCCAGCCTATAGGGCAACCATCAAGGATGCAAAGAGTTGAGGGTGCATCCCTCCAGTTGCCTGTCTGCCCCCCTTTTTTTTTTTTTTTTTTTTTTTGCATTAGATTGAAGAGCCTTCATCCACCTCCATCCCCACATCCCCAGAACTGTTACTCTCAGGGCATCACCTGCCTGCCACTGGAGCCAGCACCAAGGTGGAGAAGCCAAGTGTCAGTTGCCCGTCAGGTGGAAGCTGCTCCATCATGTCTTGGCCAGCGGCTCCTCGAGATGCTGCCAGATGTCCTGATGGCTCTTGCATTCATGTTCAGGTGGCTTTACGATGTGTGACTGGTTAAGGGTGCCTAAAAGCATGGTAGGAAATGCTCTGTCTGGGGGACACAGAGGATGGAGCTGAAGAACATAGAGCCTGATGCATGGCCCATGTGATGATGGGGAGAAGAAGTGATGTGATGGCCCAGAAAGATGTGTAGCAGAAGCCAAAATGGTCTTTCTATCTGGAAAGCCTCCTGGCAGCTCTGCCTGCTCAGCAGCAGGCAGCACTGCTGGCCCTCCTGCCTATACCCTCCTCATCCCCAGGCAGATGTCTGTCAGCTTCCCCCTGGGGAGCTGAGATGATGACTTTGACTTCTCGTTTCCTCCTGGTGTGTTTAATTGCCTGATTTTTTTTTTCCCTTTAGGACTGGGAGACAAGGGAGGAGACGTAGGCAAAAGAAGACAGATGTATGGAGAAGTCCAGGTGACAGATTGAGGGATTCTATAACCACAGTAGCCAGCCTGATGGATTGATAGATTAGACAGGGAATATAAATAGCAAGCATGGTTTATCTACCCCCATTTTATTTTCCTCTCACTTATCTCTTTATCTCTCCTGGTGTTATTTTCCTCCCGCTTATCTCTTTATCTGTCCAACCCGAGGATGGAGGAGAGGGGGGAACAAGGGGGTGACAGAAGCAGGATGAATGACTTTGGGTTACCGCTGCTTTTTGCAGCATCCCAGCAGGCAAGTTTTGCCAGCCAGGGAGGATTAGGAAGCGGACTCAGATCTGCACACTGACACGCTCTCCCCGCCCCACCTGACACTCCCCCTCTCCTTTTCCCTGCACCGTGCCCATCCCTTCTGCCCACACTCCCTGCTTTGGGGATGCTGTGCGTCGGAGGGTCAGCTCCTTCCTCTCTCTAGCCTGTCCTCAGCCAACAAATAAGGGCAGCCACCGAGGCGGTGAGCTCTGCTCGTCTGGATACCCAGCGTTTCCATCCGACAGCCGGGCAGCGCCGCTACTTGATATTCTGGTCAGGCACTGAGTGTGGCAGCGGCAGCACAGGGGAAGGAGGGAGGGGAGCCTGGCTCCGCTGAGCCGTCAGCTGCCAGCTTGCCTGCCCCCACCACCTGGCTCTTCGCCCCAGCTCGCCAGGCTGAGCTGAGCGGGCACTGGAGATGCCGCTGGCTCCCGAGTGGTGGGGCTGCTGGAGATGCTGGCCTCAGGGAAACCCACTGCCCCTTGATGATTGCACTGGGTGTAGCAGAGGGAGGTGTGGGTTGTACCTGGTTTGGGGCCCTTTCTAAGGGGGTGATGAATGAAGAGGCCTTGAGGATGTCAGTGAGGATATCAGAAGTACACAGCAACCTACACATATGGACCAAGCAATGGAGCTAGGACACAGAGATGACTGTCATACCTGTCTAAACAACTGTAACTGGCCAGAAGGGCTGGCTGGGGGTCAGGTTTTCCCTGTCTCTTCCCATACCAGAGTTAAGGGACATCAAGTGAACCTTCAAAGGGCCATGCTTGACATGCCCACGGAGGTGGTATGTGCCATAGCAGGTGACTGAGCTGCAATACTGCTCACGCTGGGGCATGGTGGATGTTTACATGGGACCAGGAGGAGGTTGGACAAGAGATGCAGCTGGTGCCATGCAGGTCCTTCCCACCAGCTCAGGGGTGTGTTGCATCTGCTCCAGGCACCCCACTGAGAGCAAAAGTGAGAGCATGGGGAAGCAGGCAGGAGCTGCTGCTCCAGGTGGGGGCATGATCCCTCTCCCTGCCTCCAGGCATGTCTGATGGTCTTAATAGGCCACCTTAGAGCCCTGTCCCTCTGGAGTTAATGAAGATGTGGACAAGAGACAGATGGCCAGCCCATGCAGTGGCATCTCCCCTCCTCGGGAGGCTTGGCTAAAATCCAGAGAGCAGGACGGTGCAGAGACATGGGGGGAACACGATGGCCAGGCACGCACGGGCCCCTCCTTGCCATCCTCTCCTGCCACACAGCAAGGGAAAAGCCAAGGCCAGAGATGACAGTAACTGTTCTTTTTTTTTTGTTTTCCTCTCGGTTGTTTTTGGTTGTTCTTTTGCTCAAAAAAGGCTTTTTTTTAAAAAATATATTAAACAGATACATTTTACTAAGATGTCTCTTGGCTGGAGTCACCGACAAGAAATGACCCTCCCCAAATAAATAGGCTTAAAAAAAACCCCTCCCAAACAAAACAAATAAATAAATACATAAATAAAACATCTTTTATCTTTTTCTTTCTTTCTTTTGTTTTAGGTTTTGTGGGGTTTTTTTTGTAAGGAATTGTGGCCCAGAGGTCTCTGCCAGTGTCCATGACAGGGGTGTCCACAGGGCAGGTGCCAGGTCCTTCCCGTACGAGGGGTGATGATGCCTTGACAGGCACAAGATGATTGTGGAGAGGCACCAGGAGAGATCTGCTGCACCTCAGAAGCCTGCAGTGTGGTCCCCCCTGTGCCATGTGCGAGGGCAAGGCCACATGAAGGGTCACGGGGGACGTGGAAGCAAAGGTGCTGGTAGAAACCTCTCTTAAAAAGACTACAAAAGTTGGGGCACCAAGGAGACCAACACTGGAGGATCCTCATGGTGGGTTGAGCATCTGCTCCAGTGGGGCCAGCAGCTGCCTCTGGCTGAGCCACATCCCCTCTGGCCATCAGCACGTTCCGCCAGACACCGATGCTCAAGCAAAAGCGGTGCTGCAGGGCAGCGTGCTGGCATCTTCCCCGCGCTCAGAGCCAGTCTGCGCTGCGCAAGCCATTCCTCCTCCATAGTCCCACTGGCATCCTCCATCTGCTCAAACCCTGCATCTCTTTGGCCAGTCGCTGGGTGTACCATGGAAGCACGCGGTTGGCACTAAGGTAAGGCCTTGATTTAATTTTTTAGGGTGGTTATTCCCTGCCCCTACCCCCAGGGAGTCCTTTCTCCTGGCCCCCTTGCTCCAAGATCTGAGCAGCCCCAGCTGTTAGCTGCACAGTTTGCCTGTCTCCTGCTCTATTGCATTGGGCAGCTTGGCGTTGAAGGCCCTCAAGGAGGACTGGATCCTTGCCACCTCATTGTTGGCCAACTTGAGCCTGTGGCGGAGCAAGCAAGTGAACAGGTCAAGGCGGGTTTTGCCAGGGGGTGACAGCCTGTTCACCCGGTCCCTGATCTCCAGCAGCTGGAGCATGGCTGAGTCCTGGGAGCCCTGGGTATAGGGGTAGTCCAGCTGAAGGATCAGGTCACGAATAGCATCTGGTTCAAAGGGCAGGCTGTAGCCAAAGACTTGCAAGCTGTTGATTTTCATGTAGCCCAGGTTCTTAGAGGGATCTGCCATCTCCAAGGGTTCGTAGTAGATCGTCTCGTTGGAGCTGTCATCCAGAGACTTGATGCGGCTCCGCAAGTAGACATGGACTGTTTCAAAGAAGGTCTTCCACTTGTTGCCCAAGGTGAGCGTCCAGTTTTGGCACTGGGCAGAGGCATCTACGTTAGTCCTTTCCCAGTCTGGGAAGCTGCCCTCGTTGACGGGCATGAACCAGCTCTCTGAGTGGCTTCCCCCGAAGGGGTTGACGTAGATGGCCATGACGGGCTCCAGCGTACTGTTCTTGGTGAGGCAGATCTGCAGAGAGAGGGCCAACATCACATGAACCAGCCCGGGCTTGTACTTGTTGCTCTTCAGGGTCAAGAGCATGCGTTTCCTCCAGGAGGGGTCAAACCAGCTCCCAAGGCGCATGTCGTTGCTGATGAAGATGGAGTGCACCTCGATGCGGCTGTCCCGTTTCTGCAGGAGGTACTTGAGCTCCAAGTCCTGCAGGTCTGTCTCTAGCCCCAGGTAGTGCTCCAGTGAGTCGGCCACCTCGGGGCGGCAGAAGCCCTGGGTGAGCACGTAGCCACGATTGCAGGTTCCACAGCGGGTGCTGTTGTCCTCGGCACAGCTGGTGCAGGCTGGCCCCTCGCCCAAGGCACACGGTATGGACCCCTGGCAGGAGGGCTGGTCAGAGGGACATGTGCAGCTGTGACTTTCTTCCAGGAAGGTCCCAGGCATGGTGGTCTCGCTGCAGTACAGGAGTGACTGCGCGCGGCTCCACCAGTAAGGGAGGGACCTGGTGGAGAAGAGACGCAGGAGGAGAGTTGCTTACATGTCATCTTTACAGGTGTGACCAGCTTTCTCTAGGGATGGAAGAGCTGCCGAAGCTGCCCAGGAATGCTGCTTGCATTCATTTTTCTGCACTGCTGGTGCCCCCCATGAACTAAGCCCCATTTTCCACCTCCAGGCTTGGACCCAACCTCTCAAGGCAACATCCCAGGGTGGCATGCCTGCCCCCGCTACCACAGGGAGGTGAGCTGTGGGTCTGAGCCCCCCTTGGGGCTCTGAGCAGTGTCCCCAGTGTGGGACGGGGATGCTGTGGCACCCTACCTCTCCTTCGGCAGTTTGAAGTGAGGTTGCCGGTGGCAGCGTTTGCTGAGATTGAAGAGCCGCCGGATGAGTCGGTGGGTTTTCCTGGAGAGCAGTTTCAGGCTGGTGCCCAGCTGCTGGTAGCGATGCTGGACATCCAGGTCCATGGCCCAGAAGTGGGAGATGGCCGTCCTGTTCAGGAAACGGTCCCCAGGGAGCCTCTTCACCAGGGCCTGAAACTCCTCTGTGCGGGGAGACAGATGGCATCAGCAGACCCAGGAGGGTGAGTGGCGAAGGTAGGGCTGGACCCAACCTCCCTCCAACTGGGCTCTCAGGTCTTCATGGTAAGATGACCACCCTGGATCCTGGCCTCGAGCCCCACCGCCCAGCCTGGGCTGCTCCCAGAGGAGGGGCTGCAGGGAGAGGGATGCTTGGTGGGGTCTCTCCAGCCTCACCTGACTCCTCGAACTGGCTGTGGTGACTCTCCCAGGCTCGCCAGAGCTGGGCCAGGCTGCTCTCCAGTGCCTGGATGTCAGCCTCAGGGCAGTTGCAGCGGGGGAAGGCGGGCTGGCACTGGCAGCGGCAGTCGCTCCGGCGGCACACCAGCTCCCCAGCTGAGCTGCAGGCGATGTAGCTGAGGGCAGCCGCCACGAACCGCTCCCGCAGATAGGAGGGGAGCACTGTCTGCAGCCCTGTGAGCGGGAGGCAGCCACAAGAGCATCAGGGCACGCGCAGAGCCCCTTGAAAACATCACCCGGGTGAGAACGGAGCAAGTCTTCCCCCTCCCCAGGCTCCCACCCTTGCATGATTTTCATATCAATTTGCTGTGGAGCCGCTTGTCTGGGCGCTGCATCGATCTTGGCTCCTCTTGGCAGACGAGCAACAACCTCATCCTGCCCAGCTTTGATTATTTTCATCCCCCTTCCTCCCTAGCCCTTAAATTAAAAGCAGCATCTTGAGCCAGCATCCTCCCCTGCGGCCCCCTGTGCACCCACGAGCATCCCACAGTGGCACTTGTCCGTCCCCACATCCCCACCAGCCTGGTCCTACCTTGGAGCTGCACTTTGTTCTCGGGGCTCTGCACCAGGACAGAGCTCACTGAGTCCAGGTTGTCGTAGTTGCTGCAGCCAAGTGGCCCCGTCCGTGTTTCAGTCACCTAAGGGGGGGATCCACAGGTGGTCAGGGACACAGGAGGGGAACCAGGGTGCGTGCCACCCCACCAAAAGTGCTGCAAATAACCCCTGGCCAGGCTTGTGGTGCCCCACTCCCCTTAGCAAGGCAATGCTTGGAGAGGAGAACTAATTGCCTGCTAATTGGCTTGTTGAAAGGCAGCAACCCTGCCTGCAGCCCACTGAAAAATGTGCCTTCATTAGCATGCCTAATTTCCCATAAATAAGGTAGATGTGCTAACTTTGCCTGTTTGCCCCCTCCATCTCCCCTTCCCAGGGTGTGATGCTGCTTGAGGGTCTCAGCCAGCTTTGAGGGGCTGCTGTCTCCCCGTGCTGCCCTCTTCCCTCACACCTTCACCTACCTTGATGGCAGCTGTGGCGATCTGGATGTGGTGGAGCCGGCGCAGTGTGCTCTCCCGGTCGATGAAGTAGGAGGCTGCCAGCTGGTGCAGGGTCTCCAGCGAGACCCCTGAGCTGTTCCCAGCCCCCCCAGCGGGCTCTGCCCTCCGGTTCAGCTTGCGCTTGTCCACAAAAATGGTCAGGGATTCCTCTCCTGGTGGGACATACAATCCTTTTGGGGGACTGCTGGGCTCCCCCCATTCCCCTCCTTGGTCGTATTTCTCCTGCAGTCCTTATTCCCCCCCCTCCCTCCTCTGCACGCTGCCTTGTGCAAGTGAAGCAAGCAGGGAGCAAGCGGGGAGCGAGCACCCACCAGCACTCACCTCCCAGCGTGGCAGCGAGCAAGAAGTGGGTCCCATACTTTTTGATGAGGCTGTCAGTGATCTGCTGGGGGCTGGGCCGGCGTCCCAGCAGACGGATGTTGCGGATGAATTCGGGGGCCAGGGGAAGTGGCAGGCTGAAGAAATCTTTCCTCTCCAAGGCCAAATTATTCACCTTCCAGCGAGCAAACTCTCTGTGGGAGGAGAGCAGTGGTGGGGAGAGGGTATGAAGCCGGTATGGCCATGCCACGTGCATGCTGTCCTCTCCGCTGTCCCCAGTGTCCCACTTGGGGCAGGGGATCAGTAGGTGGAAAAACTCCTGTTGGGACCATCCCGACCTCCCCATTGCTGCAGCAGAGGTGAAGGACCTGCTCTGTGCGCTTGCCAGCTATAGACCCAGCTGGAACGAAAGCGTCGTCCTTCCCTAAGCCATTGATGGCGATAACAAGCTACAAGCAGCAGAGATGCCTGACATTGATTAATCAGGCACCTCCGGCAGGCATTAATCACAGCCCAGGGCAGGGCCAGAGCCTTTTCCAGCCCACTGGGCTGAATTGGCTTCATCCATCCTCCATCCCCATCCCTATGGATCCAGGTGAAAATCCGACATCTGGGGGTTTCATGGTTTTAAGTGTCGGCAGCATTGTGTAGGAAGCTGGAGGCGTTGGGATGAGGTGGGGTTGGTGGTGGGTTCCCTTGTAGCCCTCGAGGCTGTGAACGTGCCCCCTGGCATAGCCCAGCCCTGGGGGTGAGCCGCCAGCCTATTGATGCCTCAAACTAACAACTAGCGGCCGATTTCAGCCTAATCTTCAGCATTTAGCTCTAATTAAAACCAGGCGTTGGCTTTCAGACAGTTTAATTAGGGCTGGTTGGAAAAGGAGGGAGAGGAGGAGGAGGGGTGGATGGGTGCAAAGCAGACGAGGTGCTTGGTGGGTGCTGGCTTGCCTCCCATCATGATTTTTGGGCCCAGAAAGTGGGATGTTGAGGCCAGGAGTGGAGCTGGGAGTGGTGTGTGAGTGTGTGTGGGGGGGTGGGATGCTGCCTCTCCCCATGCACACACGGTCCCTGCGTGCTGGGGCATGTGGGGCTGGGGGGCCAGGAGCCCGGCACCAGTTCCCCCCCATCCCATCACACAGGTGAAGCAAGCCCAGAAGGCTGCTAGCGTGTTCTCCACCTCAGAGGAGGTGCAAGCCAGCTGCTGTCCCTCCGGCTGCTCCTCCTGTCCCACCACCGTCACTGGCAGCATCCCCAGAGGACGCGGGTCCCTCGGCATGGCAGCGTCAGCACATAGGAAAGGGGTGAGGGGGGGAGAGGAGCTCTCTGGGGGTGCCGGGCTGCATAACAAGACTGCCATCCCAGCAACCACGTCAGCTCCCTGAGAGGCAGCAGCCGGGCTTTGCTCTGCTGCTGGGAACCCCTAGGGCTTGGCACCAGCAAGGAGAGGAAGGGAAAAGGGCTTGTTAGCAGGAGGAGACAGCCCCAGTTAGTGCCGGGAGGCGGTGGAGTGCATTTCCCATGCTGGCTGTCATGGGGTGGCCCTTTGCTGGGGTCAGTGGATCCCACTGCTGCCAAATCTGGTTCTCTTCTGGCAAGAAACCCCCTCCAGCATTGGCCCCCATGCATGTAGCATCCCACTGCCACAGTCTATGGGGTGATGGCACTGGGTACATG